GAGAGAGAGAGAGAGAGAGAGAGAGAGAGAGAGAGAGAAAGTGAGAAAGTAAGCTTCCAGGTCTAAGACTCAAACTGTGGTCAGCCATGTGGGAGTCCAATGCCCTTAACCACCATGCCACCTGCTGGCCCCCTGCAATACATTTTAATAATGGTTTTAAAATGCCATGTTATTTATTGCTGATTGAGGTTCTTTGTGTGCTCATGAGCTGCCTCAGGAATGGTGTTTATGTTTGAGGTGTTTGATATGCTTTCTAATTTCTTCTAGAATATAAATTAGATTTAACTGATTCTTGCACATCCTACTATATATAGTAAAGTATTTGAAAGAAAATTCCATAGACATAGAGTTTCCTTTTTTTGTATATAGCTGATAATATGTAGTTCCCTGAGAATTTTTGGAAAACTAGCTCCCTGCCTAAAACTTATCATGAAACTGGCAATACAATATTGATACTCGTTATCTAATCCAGAGTTCCAGAAGAAGGCTTGTAGTGGGAGAAATTCCCCTATTTTTAGGCAACATTGCAAGGGAATGCATGGCCATGGGCACTCTATTGACTGACTCCAAGGGGGTGCTGCTCACTTTCTAGTATCTCTGAGGATCTTGTTATTGTTCCCTTAAAAACATGTGCATTCCTGTCTATCCTTTTGCCATCATCTTTGCCTGAAATGTTCTTTAAGTTTCCCATATGCTAGATCATGCCCATCTTTGAACACCTGAGTGCCACTTTCTCTAGAAACTTGGTTCATTACATTTTCGACAACCTGGTCCTTCCCCCAAATTCATGCACATGTTTTATCTAAATTACTCATTTGATGTTTATCTCCTGTTGTATTTTATGGAATTTAATTGTATGTTTTTAATCACATTATATCTAATTTTTTTTCATACTATAGATACTGAAGAATTTTCTGCATTTATTCATTCCAAAATGGGTGAAGAAAATATGTCCAAGATACAAACCGATCATGACTCAGACTCTCAATCAGTCCTTAATGCTAAAGAGAAAGATAGAGCAGCAAATCTAGGTCTATTGGATCATTTTGTGAAGATCTTTTTATATTACAGGAGAGCAATGGTAAATCCGATCTTTCTTACTGGCTAATGTAGCAGATGTACTCTCATCCCATAAACGTGGTCATGTAAGATGTAGCTACTTACTAACATAATTTTAGTTTTGACCTTGAGACCTCGTCTTGCTGAATTTAGACTCAGTCATTTTTAAGGTTTTCTGGCCCTGTTTAGTAGGATCCTAGCCTAGTTTAGTCGTCACAGAGAAGGGATGAGCTCCCTTAGCCACCCATCACTCATCCACCCAGAGTCTTGTCCCTGTCCACACAGAAAGGCATGTACTCCTCTGCAGTTTTCATGCCACAATTGGGACATGGGTTTTTCTCATGAGATACCAGGGATCCCTCTGTGGGGTCTTGATCTCTCCTGGGGGTACCATGCTTGTAATGCAGGGAAGGCTCTTTCCAGACTACAGGAAAGCCCTGCTCATGCTCCCAAACTCTGGCCTCTAAAGGGCACGTGGGTCTTCTCTCAAATGCTTTTCTCTCTTTTTCTTTTTAAATATTATGTGATAGGTTATTAGACTCAGAATTGGAATTATTAGCTGCAAATAAGTCAGTTTCATTTTTTTCATTGCAGAAGGGGCATTTACTTCAAACCTTTTAGGAGGTGAGGGGAAATCTATCTTTACTAGATAAGAAAACACCACTTAATTCACATATGCTCCATGGACTGAACAGAGTGATTTTTTTTAAAAATTATTTTATTTGTTAGAGGGCACATGTACTTGCTGGAGAGGAAGAGAGAGAGAGAGAGAAAGTGAAAAAGCAACCCCCATGGGGAATAGTTATGCTGCAATCCCTTCTCCTCCATTTCTCCCTCTTTTCGGGATTTTGAACATGCACATGTGCCTGGCATGTTTCTCAAGCTGCTGGATCCAGACTCGGACTGCATAGTCGGCTGCGTGACTGCCATGCCACCAGCTGGCCCCAGAGTGATTTCACAAATGTGAGCACACCCAGGTCATCCTTTTTGACAGTGACCAGTGAGGGTTAACCTCCTTTCCACCAGTGTCAGGGCCCTAGAGGAGCTGGGCCCGCTTACCCGGGGAACTCAGCTCTTCCTGCTCCTGCTCTCGTTCAGCACGTTCCCATCTCTGTGCTGCTGCAAGCACAGAGCTCTTTCTCAGCTCTCACTGCACTCTCTGTCTTTTGCACTTGCTGTTCCCTGAGCCTCAGGTGTTCTCCTTCATGCAACAACCACCAGTGCACATGACTCGTTCACCCCAATAACCAGGGCTCCACTCAAATGTCATCTCTCAGAGAGGACCTATTTCCAGACCACCCAGTCTAGAAAGACATGTCCTGTCAGTACCTGTCAGGTTCTGACCCATTTCTTCTTTGTTTTACTTTATAAAATATATTCCCTGAAATTTTATTTTTCTTATTTCTCTGGTATCCACTTCCTCTAGTAATTTTAAGCAGTATAAGGGTAGACCCAGTTTCCCTGTTCATGCCAGATATCTAGCACTTAGAAATATGGGCTTTTATTTTTTATTATTAAAGAGTAAATGAGACAGACAGAGAGAGAACAAAGGAGGAGAGACCCAGAGATAGACTTAAGACTTTTACAAGGTCTCACCAGGTTTTTGGAATTATTTATTTAATTTCATTTATCATTATTTTTTAAAGAATGATTTTATTTAACTTTATGTATTTTAATTTGGCCAGAGAGGGAGGGAGGGAGGGAGGGAGAAAGAGAAAGGGAGAAAGCAGACTACCAGGTCTGGGACTTGAACCACTGTCAGCCAAGTGGGAACCCTGCAACCTTAATCACCATGAACACCTGCTGGCCTCCTATCATTATTATTATTTTTAAATTGCTATAAGACAAATGCACTTGTGAGAGGGAGAGAGAGAGAGAGAGAGAGAGCAAGCAAACAGCCAGGCCCAGGACTTGAACTGCAGTGAGCCATGTGGGAGTCCAGTGCTTTTACCACCTTGCCACCTGCGTTTCCCTCTCACGAGGTTTTGATCCTTCTGTCCCAATCTCTGAGTTAGCTAGGACCTCAAGTGCATGCTACTATGCCTGCCTGTTTAGGTAGGGCTGGAGATTGAGCTTGTGCCTCCCATGCAGCTTAATTCCCTCAAGAGTGTTGATTTATGTTTAAGGCCTTGACATGCTTTCTGATTTATTTGAGGATATAAATTAGGCTTAACTCATCCTACTACATATGTTGAAGTATTTGAATTAAGTTCCACAGACAGTGGGATGTTTTGTCAGACCATTGGTGTGCAAATGCTAGCTTGCTACTTATGGATCTGTGACATTGGGCAAGCTGGCCTCATGGCTGCATTTCCTCATCTGTACCTTAAGTAGAAGATAATGTACACCTAGTTCCCAGAGTTATTGTTAGAAGTAAATGGAGTAACGCATACCCATGTCTTAACACAGTACCTGCACCTGTATTTAGCATATAAATGGTGTTAGTGTTTTTTTGTTTTGTTTTGTTTTGTTTTATGTTTAAAATGACACGTCTTTTCAGAAAGATGAAGCTGTTCAGAGATCTATAACTGTTGGAGCTGTGTCTGTTTTTAGGTACTTGCCCATCGTGGCGGCTATTGGACTTTGCTCCAGAACTGCTGTCGGGCCTTTTGGAACTTTACTCAGGAGGTACAAATACTTATTCAACAGGCAGTGGATCTTTATAAAACATTTCCCATTAGCCAGGATGCTTTCCTCTGTACTTCTGTTTTACCATTCTCTTTGGGAGCAGAATTACTTATTGACATGCTAATACAACTACAAAATACCAATTCTATTAAGGTAAGGGCACTTTGGTGATTATTTTTATTGTATTCAATTAGAAATATCTTTGTATTGCGCAGCTTTGGGATAAGTGGAAACTGATATTTTTCTTGAGTTCCCATTTGCTTTGTTTATATTTCTCATGCTTCTCATTATTATTAATTCACAATACGTAACATGCATTAAATGTTAATTAAAAAATATTTAGCCTGAAAATCCAGTTTGTGAAAGAAAAGAGAAAATAACATTTATGAGCTCCAGCACCTACATAAACTAATCTTAATTCAGCAAATTCTTATATCAATCTTTCTGATGGATAAAGAAATGAATCTCAAGAGAGATTACATATCTTGTCACTGTCTCTTTATTCCATTGCATTATCTATTCATGTTCAAGTATTCCAGGTCTGTTAGAATTTGCAGCCATTTAAAATCTTTCACACTGGTTTAAAACATGGAAATAAAATAGAAACAGTGCAAACATCAATTAACCTAAGCATTCTGAAAATTAATAAACAGGTGAACACACCAAGCCATAAGGCCTATAACTGTTCCAGAGGAAATCATATAACAGTAGAACAAAAGACAGGGTAAAAAAAATTAAACTGTTGTAAGTTCGATCACTTTATACAAAGTGGTACAATATTAAGTCTAAGTGGATGCATTTAATAATCCCTAGATTAACTACCTAAAAAGAGATAGTTAAAAAGCTAATGAAATAAACAGGAAGACTAAATAATACTCAGTTATCTCAGAAGAAGGTAATAAAGGAGAAAGAGAGGAACAAAATCATATGGAAAAATAGAAAACAATTAGGCAGTATTAAACCTAACACTATCCTGTCAATACCTTTTAAATATAAGTAGGCTAAATGCCCCAAATATAAGAAAGAGAGTATCTGACTACATAAAAAAGAAATGCATAGCTGTCTGTAAGTGAAGCCCTTTGAATGTAAAGAAAAAGAAACACTGAGGGAAAAAACATGGAAAGCAATGCTCCATGAAAACAATAAGCATAAAAAAGCTGACGAGGCTATATTAATATCAAATAAAATAGTCTTCAAGGAGTACAAGAGATAAATAGGTACATTTTAGGGCCAGTTACTGTGGCGCAGTGGTAACACAGTGGCATACAAGGCAAAAGCCACATGGCCAATGGCAGGTTCAGTTTCCCTGATTGGCCTGAAACATGAGGCATGTGCATGGGAACCCAGGATGCTGCGGAGCTAGAGGGCTGGGAAGAGGGGGTCGTGGTATGATGAAACCTTGTTGAGGGTGTTCTCTTTTTCTTGCATGCATTGTTCACACATTCCTTATCATTGAAAAAAAAAGAGGATATTTTATAATAAGAAGAAGCTCAATTACTCAGAAAGACATACCAATCATAATAACAGAAATTCAAAATTCACTTTGGCCAACTAAAATTTGAAGAGCATTTCTTGGTTGCTAAGCACACTGATGTGTCAGGAGGGTGACAAGCCCTGATTCCATGGGGATGGAGTAAGGAAGCTCTGTGTTAAGGACCCTCCCAGGCCTTGCCCTATATCCCTCTTCATTGGGCTATTCCTGTTATAATAAAACAGTGATCAGAAGTACAGTTGCAGTGAGTTCTCTGAATGATTATAGTGAATTGTCAAACCTGAGGGGGTTATGGGAACCCTTGAATTTATAGCTTAGTCAGCAGGGCAGGTGACCCTGAGAAGGTGGCTAGCATCTGAAGTGAGGGCAGGCTGTCGAGGATGAGGCCCTTAAACCTGTGGAGTCCGATGCTAACCCAGTCGTTAAGGTCGGAGTTAAAGGTCAGAACACTCCCATGGAATGAACACAGAGCACAGTGTGCATGCTGTGTTCACGTAGATGGTCATGTACACAGTCAGAAAACCAGTATTGATAAAATTGAAAAGATTGCAATCTTAAAGAGAATCTGACCATGACACAATTCAACTTTAAACAGATTACCAAAATACAGGGAGAAAAATCTCCAGCAATCTGGAACTTAAGAAGAAAACATGAGCAATTAGAAAATATTGATCCTCCAAATGCCAGTCCTGTTTATTTCTCTAGGTTGTAAGGTAACATACATGTTAATATACAATACTCCTCATGCCCTATTTCCCTCTCAGGTTGGTATCAATTAGGAGATAAATGCTGTTTAAGAGGGAGGGAATCAAGGGGAAGAAGAAAAAAGCAAAACATTTAAGGGACCCAAAATGGAAAGAAATCTGTTGATTTTAATGTATATGATAAGGTCTCTGACTGGACCCGTAAGTCATATATTCATGATGGGAAAATTCATTTGGTATGCTGTAATGATATAAGTGATTAAATGTAAAAAAAATAAATAAAAATGAAAAGAGATAAGTGCTAAATAAGACAGAGATAAAATGTCAGCTTTGTTGTTGGTGAGCACTATATTGGAAAATGTAGTAACCACAAAAGTTTTCTTTATCTGTCATCCCAGAAATAAACATACTACCTAGGCATAGGGACTTCTTCAGGGGTAGAGTCAGGACCCCTGATGATGTGATTCTGAAGACAGGCAGATCCTGATAGAGCAATCACCCAAGAAGTGCTGAGTGGGAAGTGCAAAACATTTAAGGGATCCAAAATGGAAAGAAATCTGTTGATTTTAATGTATATGGTAATGTCTTTGACTGGCTTTTTTTTTTTTTTTTTTTGGATAGGTTTTTGCTATAGGGCGCATGCGCTTGCCAGAAAGACAGATTGTGACAGAAAGTGAGAAATCCCCCCCCCGGGGGGGGGATGGCCATGCCATGATCCCTTCTCCTCCGTTCTCCTCTAAGATCTTGAGCACACACGCGTATGCGCCCAGCGTGAATTTAAGCTGCCGGGTCTGGGACTCGAACTGCAGTCGACTACATGAGAGTCCAGCAACATAGCCATTATGCCAACTGCTGGTCCTGACAGACTTGATTTTTTTCCACACTCACCAAGAGGAAGGCCATGAGTACCACCTAGTAACCTGGGGTCAAAGAAATGGAGAAGGCCCCTTATGCAGATGTGTGTTACTGAAAGTCTGTCAGTGGGTTACAGGGGTTGAGTTCAGAACAACAGTAAAATATCAGCTGCCTTTTGCTAAGCATGTCCTCTGTCCCAGTTATCACAGTAAGGAAGCAAATTCACTAGCACACCTAGACAGTCTGACTTCAGGTGTGCACATTGCATTCCACAGCTAAGTGATTTACAAGGTTTCTTCTAACTTCAGGGACCATGAATCTTGTTAGAGGGAATGTTTATCCTCTACTTTTGTCGATACCTTCCCTCCCCTTCACATGGGTTACCTTTAATGCTATCACTGGGATAGGAAGGACTGAACATGAGTTACTCAACTGATCCAGTCTGTAGTCTGGCCCTTAGATGGAACTAAGAATTCCAGAGCTTTCAAAAGTATGCACAATTACATCAGAGGTTCATGGGAAATGAACACAGTAGTCACATGGTAACTCTCAGGCGAAAAGAGAGTCTTCTAGAAGATTTCTTCCTCCATAGGTCTGACCTCTGCATCAAGAGATTGGACATAGTATTCTACAAATTGATGAATGTAACCAACAAGTTAGGGAATTTCATTAATTGCTTATGCTAAAAGCTATTTGTCCTGAAAACCTGACCTTAGTGGTCGCATGTCTTTTTTTAAAAAACTGAATAGTGATTGTATACCAAAAAGCATAAACCTCAGTCTATATTAATATTATAAATACCAGATACATGTGGTTATTTAAATTTAAGCTTGAATTAATTAAAATGAAATTGGGAACCAGCAGATAGCGTAATGGCTATGTCGCTGGACTCCCACGTAGTCGACTGCGGTTTGCTTCCCAGACCTGGTGGCTTAAAACTCACTCTGGGCGCGTGTGCATGCGTGCCCAAGATCCTGAGAGGAGAATGGAGGAGAAGGAATTGCGGTGTGGCCATCCCCCCTGGGGGGTGATTTCTCACTTTCTGTCTCTATGTCTCTCTCTGTCTGTCTGGTGAGCGCACGTGCCCTATAGCAAAAACCTCTCGAAAAAAAAGAAAAAAAAATGAAATTAAACGTTCAGTTGCACTAGCCACATTTCAAAAGTGCATTAGTTATGTGTCTATTGGGTATTGAACTATATTAAACAGCGTAAACATAGCGCATTTTCATAATGACAGAAAGTTCTGTTGGATAGCTTTGCCTTAAATGATCAAACTTTGATTTGCACATTAAAATCCTATCACTTCTTTTCTAAGTTATATTTCTATCACATCCAGTTTTCTGAAAGCAATAATGTGGTAAAACATGAAATTACACAATTTTTTTTTTCAATGTGCTATTTGTAGTCTCTGGAAGACAAAGGAGAGTTCAGTGTTCCAAGCTGCTATGGGAACATTAAAAATGATAATGGTGGATTTAGTCTTACTTTTGAACATCCTTTGGATGACGTAAACGTGGTTGATTTGAAATGGATCCATGACTTTGTATTAAAATCTCTGGAAGTTTTGTATCAAGTGGAAAAATGGGAAACCCTAGTGTCACTTGCCATTCAGTTCAATATAATTTCACAGTAAGTACTACAGTAGGGGCAGCTAAAACTAACAGACCTTTCTTTAAAGAAAAAAGTAACAGACTTCATTGAAAAGAAGTCTTTACACTAATGTTTGCTTTTCAATGTATTCTTTACTCCTGTCTAGCGAAAGGTATACAGAACAAGTGACACCACTCCTGGTGTATGGACAGCGTCAGCTTCTTCTGAGAATACAGAAGTTCGAGGGTCCAGATATTACTCAACAGCCTTGTGCAAACTATGAGGCTAAGTACGGAGAGAAGGTGAGTTTAGCCCTTTTAGCCCTATTAGTCAAGCAGTTGCGATTTCTTATTAGTACCCATATAAAATAAAAAGATACAGGGATCAGATCAATGTTGTTATTTTCACATAGACATTGATCACTCAAATCAACAAATGCTATGGAAAGTCTGTTATGTGCCAGTGTTTTTCAGATAAACAGAAATTAAGTCCTTGTTCACAGGATGCTTATATTCAGGCCAGGGCTGATTTTTCCATTAGGCACAAGGGGGTTTGTGTCTGAATCCACAGTATTCTCAGTGATCCACTACATTTTTTTTTTCTTTTTAAAGAGTAACTTTAAAGTAAAAAGTGTCTTAACTTAGTATCAATGTTTTTGTATTTAAACCAATCACAATAATAAAATATAATTTAAAATTTTCTTTTTAATTGAAGAATGGGCCCACAGAGGCAAAAGTGCCTAGGGCTTGTGAAAGTCACATATAGCTTAAATCAGGTAGAACAAAGAGATAAATCAATTTTCTCATTTACTAATTTAACAAATATGTACGGACTACTTAATTGAAGCCATTGCATACAGTTGTAGAGTCTGAAATTAAATGTTCAGTTGCACTAGCATACATGGGGGGCTGAATCCAGTCCATTCTCCACACACCAGTATGTGTGCTTATTGTGTTGTATCCATCTGGGGAGGACTCCATTTTCCTCTCATAAAGGTTCCTTTTGACCTAATGATAGCTTTGCCTCTTACATGTTCTCTTGGGTACAAATACAATTTTGAATTCTTGTTTCATGGAACTTCATTTAAGATGTATGGATAGGGCCAGATAACAAACCCATAAAGAGATAAATAGCAAGATTCATGAGCATTGTAAGGTCTCTAAGGAAAATAAAATAGGTCAATGAGATAGGGATATTCTGGATGTGAGGCAGAGACTTAAGTAAGGGTGATCAGGAAGACCTCTTGGAGGTGGTGACATCTGATGCAAAGGGGCCATCCATGCAGCGATCTGAAGGAAGAGCATTCCAGTTGAATGAAAGAACCATGCTGTCGTGACAGAAAGAAGGCCTGTGCAACCGAAGTACAACAGACATGGGACAGGGTAAAACTAGTGGGAGTGTTCCTTGAGTCTCCTTTGCTGTTTCTTTCTCTTTCCCCCAATGTCTGCTGTGGTGTGCCCCAAGGATTTGCTCTTGGCTCTTCTGTCTTCTCTATACACATACTCAGTAAGTTAACTCAGTCTGTGTCTCTTTAACTCAGTCTGTGTCTCTCTAAGTACAATCTTTATGATGACTATTGAAATTACATCTCCACTCCAGACCTGTCTCCTGAATTTTGTGTTGACATGCATAACAGCCCATTATTAGACAGGGTTCAACCAGAGAAGCAGAACTTAGAGTGTAGATTTTATCTCATCTTTTTTAAAAAAATAATTATTTATTTTATTTTATTTATTCATTCATTTATTTTAATTTGACCAGAGAGAGAAAGAGGGAAAGTGAGAAAGCAAGCCACCAGAACTGGGACTTGAACCCTGGTGAGCTATGTGGGAGTCTCTAGCACCTTAAACATCATACTACCTGCTGGTCCCATCTTATCTCATCTTATCTTATCTACTAGGGATTTATTACAAGGAATTGGTTTATGTGATTGTAGTGGGTGGCTAAGCAATTCCAAAATCCACAGGGTAGGCGGTCAGGACCATAAGCAGAAAGAAACTCCACTAGCATGGACAGAAGCTGTTATCCATTGATAGTCAATGAGGCAAGATCGGGTGAGGAAAGAACCATGGTAGACCTGGCTTTTGTTTGGTATTTGGAGTCCTGGAGACTGCCTGCATATCAGGGGCTCTCCTGAATAGGTAAGGGCCAATGAGGATAATCTCCTTAGCTGAAAGACAGTTTATGATGGACTTAAATTATATCTGCAAAATATAATTAAATCTGTGCTCTTCACAGTAGCATCTAAGTTTATGTTTAATTGAATAATTGGGATGAAGTGTGTGTGTGTGTGCAAAATAAGTGCTTCTTTCTCTTCCCTCCTCATATTAACCCTTACCTAAGTTGATTCATTAAAAAAAGTCACACTGCCTAATCAATATCATTTCTTAGATGTCTTATTTGTCTCAGGTTTAGCATATCTCAAACCAACCTATTCTGTCAGGTCTGCCTCAGTGGATGACTACTCCATCCTTGCTGCTCAGGCTAGCCCATGAGAATGGAGGAGAAGTGATTATTGCATGGCCATCCCTCCTGGAGGGTGATTTCCCACTTTCCCTTTCACTGTCTCTCTATATCCAGTGAGTGCACAAACCCTATGACAAAAAACCTAAAGAAAAAGAAAAAGAAAAAGGTCTGTAGGAGTAATTGGATATAATTTTAATTTGACCAGAGAGGAACAAAGTGAGAGAGAAAGAGAAAGAAAGAAAGTGAGAAAGCAAGCCACCAGGTCCAGGACTCACACCATGGTCAGCCATGTGGGAATCTAGCACCCTTAACCACTGTACCACCTGCCGGCCTCCCCCGAGTGTTTTTCTCAAACCAATGGAGCCAGGATTTGGACCATGGTCCGCCATGTGGATCTAGCCAATTTTATCATTAAGAGGCAAATTTTATCATTAAGAGAATGGTGAAATATAATCAGAATATAATTAAAAATATAATCAGAATGTCACTGTCTCCACCACTCTTTCTCTAACCAAAACTATCATTGTACAAGCTGAGCTTCCTAATTTGAAAATCCAAAATCTGAAATGCTTTAAAACCTAAAACTTTTGAGTGCCAACATGATGCCACAAGTGGAAAGTTCCATAATTGACTTCACAGTCAATATGCTGCAATACAAAAACACTGTATAAAATTATCACCAGGCCATGTGTATCAATGTTTACAGTTGGGTCCCATTTCTGAGATGGCTCAGTATGTGTATGCAGATATTCCAAAATCTGAAAAAAATACAAAATCCCAAACATTCTTGTCCCATGCATTTGTGATGAGGACTACTCAACCTATATTTGCTTAGATTAGTTGAATTAGTGCTACGACTTCCTAATTGCACAACACTCCTACCTCAAGTCAGTGGTCTATTCTCAATGCAGCAGATAGGATGAGCCTTTAAGAAGTCAGACCAGGTCATATCTTTGCTTAAAACGCTACTGTAGCTTCTCATCTGATTCACAGTACAGTAAACGTCTTCTATCATTGTCTTAATGATAAACTTTGCCTCTAATAAATTATATCCTATTACTCCTACAGACTTTTTTATTTTTCTTTTTATTTAGGTTTTTGCCATAGGGCATATGCACTCCCTAGAGAGATATAGAGAGACAGTGTGAGGGAAAGTGGGAAATCACCCTCCGGGGGGAATGGCAATGCCATATAGTCTCTTCTCCTCCATTCTCATCCTGGGATTTTGGACATACTTGCACATGCACTCCACAGGGTCTGGACTCAAACCGTGGTTAGCCACATGGGAACCCACCACCTTAACCACTACCCCACCTGTTGGCCCTCAGCCTCTGCAGGTTTTAACTGCACTATTCTTTAATGTATTTCTAGGACTGGTCCTATAGACAAGTGGTTAAGGAGCTAGATCCACATGGCAGACCATGGTCTAAATCCTGGCTCCATTGGCTTGAAAAACACACTGGGGGGAGGCCGGCAGGTGGCACAGTCCAAATCCTGGCTCCATCGACTTGAGAAACACACTGGGGGGAGGCCGGCAGGTGGCACAGTGGTTAAGGGTGCTAGATTCCCACATGGCCGACCATGATTTGAGTCCCGGACCTGGTGGCTTCCTTTCTCATTTTCTCTCTTTCTTTCTCTCTCTCTCTCTCTCTCTCACTTTGTCCCACTCTGGTCAAATTAAAATAAATAAATTAATTAAATAAAGTTCAATAAAAAAATTTCAAAACAAAACAAAACACACTGGACACGTGTGCATGTGTGGCCCAAATACGGACATGATGGAGAAATGGAGAAGGGATCGTTACACGACCACACCCCAGCAGTGGGGGACAACAGGTGCTTTCTTCCTCTCCCTTTCTCTTTCTCTCTGGTGAGCACACGTGCCCTCTGGCAATTAAAAAAAAAATAAAAATAAAAAGATGTTCCTGCCTCAGAGACTTTGAATTTGCTATTGTCTCTGCTTGGAGTTGCTCTTCCCCTAAATATCCACAATGATTTTTCCCTCACTTCTTCTACACTTTGCTAAATACTGCATTTTGTGAGGCTTTTGCCTCACTACCCTGCTTAACATTATGTGCCCCTTGCTCTATTTCTCCCTCGAGCAGTCATAGCTCTTTACTATACCATATAATGTACTTCACTATTTTGTTTATCATCTCCCTTCTCCCTCTAGAATAAATTCCATAAGAACAGGAATTTTTGCTTAGTTTGTTCTCGGCTATGTTTTCTCTTCAGCTTGGAACAGTGTTGGCTCATCATAGGTGTTCAGTATACATTGGTTTAATGAAGCTGGAGAGGCAGGAGACTAGGTCAAATGGGGACTTAATAGTCTGTTGAAAGGAATTTGCATTTTATTAGACTGTGTTTACATCTCATTACAGAAGTACCCACAAGGGATGATAAAGAAGAAGCATCTATAGCAGACTGGGGTTCAAGGAGGGCTATATTTTTAGTGATAGGTTAGTTCAAGGGATGAGAGTAGCTAAGTGGAGAGAGATGAGACCCTTTAGAAGATTTTCCTTCTGTTTTCAGATATTTTACAATGTGAAGAATGAAATATTCGTTAGAATATAAATGGTTAAAATGTTGCAGAAGTTAGGTCTGAAAAAACTTTACCAGGGTAGTTAAAATTGTATTCCTTATGAATAAGGTGGGGAAAAAAATCTGCCTTGGGAAAGCAGCCTATATTTTAACTATGTTTCAGTTCTACATAATGGAAGATATATTTAGACTAGCAAGTTTATAGACTATCAGAAAATCATATTCTAATTGCTCTACATAATTTGCCTAATGGTCTTCCAGCTGTGCAGTACAAAAGAAATAGGAAAAAATATGTAGCCTCTCCCCCCCTCAAAGTTCTCATGGTTGAATGACCTTCTGTAAACCTTTATTTAGTAGTAGTATTTTGCTTTTCTTTGTTTTGACGAGTGAAAAGTGAGATAAACATTTTAAGTAAAGCTAAATTTTATAAGTATAAATATTAATACCTGGCTGAGTAACTTTTGTTTTCATCTCTCTTTTTTAAGATAACCTGCCGAAATTTCATCGGGAAACAGCTTATGATTGATTCTCCGAATGATAAATTTACGGCTGCAGAAAGCTGTACAGATTTCCTAAAAATGCTTGTCAATTCAGGTCAGCATCAACTTTTAGCTTGAAGCTCTGCTTTCTTTGAACCATGGGTTGCCATTTTGTTCTACGTGTCAAGTTTTCCATAATTAAAATGTTTGTAAAATCTTTTACAGGTTTATTTGGCTGAAAATAATCCATTTTTATATTTACCATATAATGTCGCTATAGATGTCACTTAAGGGGGATTAAAGTAGCCTACTTTTTTTTTTAAAAAAAGTTTCATCTGTAAGCTTAAGGGGAATACAAGAAAAGAAATAAGGGCATTGATGGAAAAAAGTAAAGAAGGGAAAAGTCTGATTTGCACATTTTCCTCTATTTTTATCTCCTTTGGGAACTCCTCCTTTGGGAACTCCTTTGCTGTTTGACTTGGCTGCTTTCTTTGTTCTGTGTTGACTCTCATAACAGGCTTCCATTTCCATAATCAATGCCGATTGTTCCACGGACTTTACCCTGGCTAAGTTGGAAGTCTTTTAACTAGACTGCAGGGAAAGATTTGGGAATGTCAGGACTGCTTTGCTTTTAGCTGACAAGCTCTTTTGGAATGTTTTTGGCAGTGAAACTAGTAGGAATGCAGCAATGGAATAAGGTGAAAATAACACCTGCTCTGAATTACACATTCCTCGTGTGTCTGTTTCTGATACAGGAACAAAAAGTAATTCTTTATGAAGTCTTAGAATTTATTTATTTATTTAGTTAGTTAGTTATTGCCCTATGTAGGTATATGTAAATATATAAAGTCATGCATTCATTTATTTATTCCGTCAGTCTGCCAGCCATCCAGCAAACATTTCCTGAGTATCTACTATGCGTTAAGTGCTGTGCTAGGTACTCAGAATACAAAGAGGAATTAGACTAAAGATTTGCTATGCAGGAGCTATAGTCCATGGAAAGAGATCAGTAGATAAGCCACACATTATAGTATAAGATCTGCAATGTTATTAGTACTGCTGCTGCTATGAACATTAATAGTTAACAGCTAGCATCTACTTTTGAGAGACTGCAAGCAATTCAGTGAGGCTAATGTAAAGGAAAAGGCAAGATCTGTAGTTAGAAAGATTGGCAGGAATTAGGTAATAAAGTGTTTTGGAGGGCAGGATAAAAAGATCCAGTTTTACTAGAGGACTGAGGAAAACTAGTTCAAAGGGTCTAAAGAGGGAAAGTGAAGTGACTGTTCGTGTAATTGTAAGCACCTTCAGCAACAGCGTGGGGACTGGATTGAAAGGAGACCGTGCAGAAGCAGGAAAGTGGCTGCTCCTGCCTTGTACGTTTGTGTACTCATGGAGATGGGATGAAGGCCGGGACTTGGGCCAGTGAGAAGACAGGAGGGGGCAAGAAGGGAAGAAAGGCAGAAGGAGTGTGCAAGACGGTGCTCTGTTCTGCGCAGACGTGGGGGAGGGATGAGAAGGGAGTTCGGGTTGTCTTGGTCTCTGGATTGGTGTCTAGAAGGATGATGATACCTTCTTTCAGACAGAAACCAGAGGGATGGATGGGTTAGACAAAAAGGCTATTTTGAATGATCAAGTTCGTCTGGATGCCGAGTTGAGCTTGTATTAATACTATACTGTGTGATCAGATATACTGATGGGGCATTCAGGAGGGAGCTGAGTTGGAGATACATATTTTAGTCATCAATATATTGGTGGTGGTTGAAATCAAGAGTGGTTGAAGCCCTGAAGTCACCCAAGGACAGTTATGTGGAGTGCAGATCTGAGGGTGGCCTCCTGGATAACACTAAGAGTTAGGAAACATGGGCTGGAGCTCTACATAGTAGCAAACAGTCCCCAAGTTTCACTGCTTTAACACAAGCAAAGTGTCTTTCTTCCTCCTGCTAGCATGTTCTGTGGAGTACTGGGCTACTGCGATGATGATGGATCTCTGTCTTGGCACAAGCTTCCATGATCATTTCAAGTCAGCAAACACTCTAATGGTACCCTCCGGGGGAGCACTACTGAGAGGCACACACTGAGTGCTTACAACCGCAGCCTTTGCCAAACCACATAGGTACATACTATATGCTTTAGGCTAAGGGGTTTATATGGATTATCTTACTTAATTATTATAACAATCCTGATAAAAGAATTCTAATTATGCATTATACATCAGGCAGTCTTACAAATGCTTTGTGAATATTAGCTTACAATCATTTAATGAGGTAGGTTCATTATTGTCTTCATTTTTCAGGAAGGAAAAAAAGATGTGGTATTTCACATGCTGGCTCTCAAAGCTGCTACTTGAAAATGACACATGTCACATCTGCTCACCTTGCACTGCTCACAGTTCTGTGGCTGCACCTAATTTCTAAAGGGGTAGAGAAGTGTGATCTTCCTCTGTACTTAGGGTAAAGGGGCACAGGATAGGTGAAGAGCTCTACTGTCTGTCTTGGGAGTAAATAGGAAGATCAATATCTAAAAGAAGTTGAGATAGCTCAAGGGATGGGAAGTAAAACATAATGTAGATGAGTGGTTTTATACCATTCTCTCAAGGCCAAGACAAGAGAGATTCAAGGAAGAGGAAGCCATCAACAGAGAGGTCACACACGATGAGGACAGACTGCCTACTGCATTTGCAGTGTGTGTGATCATCGTCACTGGCCTTTTTGCTATGACATTCCCACTTAGGCTTTGTTGTAGCTGTTTGTCTTTCTTGCAGTTCCTTCCTCTCATCCAGATGTCTATTAACCCCCACACTTCCTTTAAATCATTGCATACAACTTGTCCTTTCAACAAGGCTTATCCTAACCATTCTATTTAAAACTGTACTGTAGCCCAGCCATGATGGCGTAGCTGTAGCTCAGTTCTGCAGTGCTGGAGGAAGATCTGGGATTGGTTCCCAGGTAGACCTGTGCATGCTGAGTGCAGGAACATGTATCCATGATCCTGGTTTGCTGGAATCCTGAGGGAGAGGGTGAGGAGGACCACAATGTGGGACCCTTATGAGGGTTCTTCTCTCTCTCTCTCCTCTCTGTCTCCTATGAAATAGATAGATAAACAAAAAAACTGGGGGCCAGCAGATGGCATAGTGGTTAGGTTGCTGGACTCCCACATGGCTAACCATGGTTTGAGTCCTGGACCTCTTGTGGCTTGAAACTCATGCTAGGCGTGTGTTCATGCCTTGCCCAAAATCTCAGGAGGAGAGTGGAGGAGAAGGGATTGCAGTGTGGCCATCCTCCCGAAGGGGAAATTTCTCACTTTCCCTCTTACTGTCTCTGTCTCTCTCTCCAGTAAGTGCACATGCCTTAAGACAAAAACCTCTAAAACAAAACAAAAACAAAACAAAAATCAGTATGCTGCCTCTTTCCTCCTAATTTACTCTATTCTGCTGTATGTTATTATTTTTTTTTTTCTGAAGTAGTTCTCACCATCTGTCATGCTGTATAATTCAGTTTTTGCTATCTTTTTTATTACTGGTTTGTTTTGTCCTAGTAAAATGCAAGCTTTATGAGGGTAGAGATAATTACATTCACTGATTTAATGCAGTGTCTGGTGCATAGTAGGAACTCAGTGTCTCTTTGCTGAGTGGAAAATTTGTGACCTTTGAAATGACTGGGAAGGAAGTGGGAGCGTTTTGAGTGGCTGGTACAGTAGTGGTGAACTGAGTGCTTGAATTGAGACTTGTATTTTAGGAAGCTTAGCAATGAGAAGATGAGAGAGAGAGAGAGAAGGAGAGAGAGAGAAAGAGAGAGAGAGGGAGAGAAAGAGAGGGAGAGAGAGAGAGAGAGAGAGAGAGAGAGAGGGAGTAGCAGCGCTGCAGCTAAAAGGAAAAGTAGAGCTCAGGGAGGGGGGAAAAGAGAGAGGGAGAGAGAGAGAGAGAGAGAGAGAGAAAGAGAAGTAGCAGCAGCTGCAGCTAAAAGGAAAAGTAGAGCTCAGGGTACACAGGAAAGGCTTGCTTTATTTCTCTTAGTAGAGGAAGAAAAGAGTAGGTTTATACAGTGGAAAGAGCCAGGAGAGAGAGAGAGAGAGAGAGAGAGAGAGAGAGAGAGAGAGAAAGAGAGAGAGCGAGAGAGCGAGAGAGAGCTCAGTTAGGGGAGAGAGATACTTGCTTTGATATTTGAGAACTTGGAGGGAAAACAAAAACAGAGCATAAGAAACAGGGGATGATATATCCCTTCTGCTAGGGCAGAAAGAAAAGAGGGAGAATAGACTTGAAGCAGGAAAATTTGGAGGTGTAAGGATAGAAGTTCAAGGTCTTCTCATCGGGTACTGGATGTTTTTAAAAACTTATTTATTTAGTTTTCCTGAGAGAGAGAGAAAGAGGCACGCCCAACAGGATCTTTACGCTGTGTGCTACCCCAGCCTCAGTCAACCTAGATTATGGATATGTGTGCCCAACGTGCATAGCGAGATCTTGGGCTGTGAACATGGGACCTTCTTTTTTTCTTAAATTATCCATTTAATTAAAAAATTTATCATTATTATTATTTTTTAAATTTGACACAGAGTTCATGAGAGAGAGAGAGAGAGAGAGAGAGAGAGAAAGAGAGAGAGAGAGAGAAAGTGAGAAAGCAAGCTACCAGGTTCGGGACTCAAACCGTGGTCAGCCATATGGGAGTCTAGCACCTTCACCATCATGCCACCTGCTGGTTGTCCCTCCCAGACCTTCTTATATGGCATCAGCATTATAGGGCACTCTGTAACTGCTGTGCCTGGTACTGGATGCTTAATGAAGAACCAAGCTGGAAATAAAACCAGGCTGAGGGAACCAGCAGTTAGCGCAATGGCTATGTTACTGGACTCCCATGTAGTCAACCACGGTTCGAGTCCCGGACCCGGTGGCTTAAAACTCACGCCGGGTGTGTGTGCGTGCGTGCCCAAGATCCCGAGAGGAGAATGGAGGAGAAGGGATTGCGGCGTGACCATCCCCCCTGGAAGGTGATTTCTCACTTTCTGTCTCTATGTCTCTCTCTGTCTGTCTGGCGAGTGCATGCGCCCTATAGTAAAAACCCTCTCCAAAAAAAAAAAAAAGAAAAGAAATAAAGCCAGGTTGATAGGGCAGGAAATTGCAAGAGGAATGTGAAACCGTGGACCGCCACTAAGGGAAATAGGCAAAAGGAAGGAAGGGTGGTTGAAGAACCATGTAGCAGGTCCAGTTGAGTGAAGTTGGTAACATGGATTGCAGGTTTTACAACCAGTGGTAAATCAGATTATCCCCTCATATTCAGTAAAATATGAGAGGACCACCTTCTTGTTGTCAATCACTTGTTACTAACTTCAAAGAGTATAATTCTTCCTGGGGGTGCTCTACTTCTCTTGATCTTGTCTGTGAAACCTCAGGTATTCCCTCGTTTTGGAATCCATAACTCACTAGTGATTTATATTATCCCTTCCATCCTAAAAAGATTTGCTATGAGTGTGAGAAAATGTGTCAAAAATGCTTATCAAAATGATGACTAGCATCAAAGAAATAATAATAATTAAAAAAACTAACAAAAATTCTAGATCTGCGTACCAGCAGACGTTTATGGATGATGGATGTAATATGTCAGAAAAGCCGCTGGCTTACTTTTTTTATTAGCGTTACATTTAGAAAGTCACGAAGGTGGCGGGGGACAGAGGGGATGTGGGTGCATTCAGGCTGTGGCAATCCTCTGTGTTGATTCTCAACAGCGGTGGAACCACGGCCCATTTGAACAGTAATTATTGCAGGACTGTTTAAAGAAATAACATTTAAAAGTATTGTAATGATGATGATAATTGTTGACTTTATACCATATTTATACTATTTGTAATAGTCTTACGAGATAGATATTATGCTCACGTAGCGTATGAGGAAATTAAACATGCCTAATAGGTACTGGGACTGGAACTGAAACCCTGGTCTGTCTAATTGCCCCACCCATGAATGCTCCACTGAGCTACCAGGCCTCTTCCCCATTGTTCCCTTTCAGGTTAGAATCTCCTTTAAACTTACAGCACTCGAGAACAAATTTGCTATATTTGCTCTATGTCATGGGAGACAGACACTTTATTCTGACTCATTGGATAGTACAGCAATTTTAGATAATCTTGCATATTAATTCCAGGTTTTTATCTTGAACTGTTATCATTAAAAACTTAGCATTCTACTTACAGCTCTTTACAAGACTCTAGGACCTCTGTGACTAGGAACACCTTGCCGATGCTTTTCGGTTTACCTGGCAGTTTTAGGATTCTGAATTTTTTTTCAGTGTACCGAAATCACATCATTAACATGGCTATAAGCATGTTGGGTCTTATGTATGTCACCAAGATGTGTTTGCAATTCTTTTAAAAGATGGGGTATACTTATTATGGTTTCTACACCAGATTGCTGCTTTAGGACATCGTAGATTTTCTCCTAGCATAACAACCTTTGGTGGTAATGCTTGGTACATTTAATTCTTCAGAACGGATGTTGTAATGCTCCAGTGCCTAGGAACATTTGGTGTTCTCATTATTTAACAACATCTATTCTCCCTTCTACTATTTAATAATGCATATGCAATTTGGTATCGTCTCTGTAGGATTTGGAGAAGTGAGAATACCTCACTTTATAGATTATTCTTGTATGGATGAGCAATTTGCCTGCTTGTTAAGCACCATAGGGGAGATAACACCATGGATATGCCTTTTATTGTAGCTGTTTTTGCATTCTGTCTGGGCTCTTTTTTTTTTTTTTTTTTTTTT